GAATAGTGCAACAATGAATGAATGGAAACCCAAAATCTCTGTAAATGTTTATGAAAATTAATAAAATATAGAAAAAAAAGAAAACAATGAACATATGACTGGACAATTATGGAAGGGTATGCTTTTATGCAGGGACAAATAACCTCTTTGTATTATGTTAAAATATTTGATAGAAAGTAGAACTAGTACATGATGAACTTGGGTTATTTGGCTGATGAGATTTCCAAGATTTTAAAGAGCTATGTTCTTTCTTTGCACCTTAGAACAGAATGAGAAAGGTAAGAGATGGACGTAGGGAGCCACTGCCCAAAGCCGAGGAGCTGGGCTGCCAGGTCCAAAAGACAGAAGAATGAGACTGACCAGGGTCAAAGGGCTGGAGATGCCATTCGGACAGATTAGGAGAAGGGGGCCTCCAAAACCAGAGGGAACAATGCTGCCCTCCCAGCACTTTCTCTGGAGATAAAGCTGAAGAAGTTCGGGGCCAAGTGGCCTCCAGAATCCAGAGGGCATGGCCAATACCCAGAGTCTGGAGGGTGGGGCCTTTGTCAGAAGGTGCTACAGCAAAGAGAATTATGTTCAATCCTTGAGAGCTAATATAAATTGTTCTGCAGAGTTCTGGATATTCTTGGCATCTGTTAAACCTTCTTTTTCCTCTCATTTTTCCCATTTGTAATAGAAACATTTACTCTGTGCCTTTTCCGCCATCAACTCTGGAAGTAGATAGTTTCTATTCCACATTTCAGGTTCACAGATGAAGAGGGCTTTTGCCGCAGGATGGACTAAAGTGTCACTCACATTTTATTCCAATTATTTAAAGGGGTGAGGGGGGATTGTGTACCAGGGAGCCAGGGAGGGAGCCTTTCTTTTACTTTTGAAAGAGAGGAGCGAACTGGGTGGGGGGGGGCAGGGGGAGAGGGCTGGGCGGGTAGAGAAGTGCAGCAATGAATGAATGAAATCCAAATTATCTGTAAATGTTCATTAAAATTATAAAAAAAAAAACACAAAACAATCGACCCCCCCCCCAAGAAAAGCAGCAACTTTGTGTTCTGATGTAAGACTTTTGAGATGATGTGATGGGGTGAATGTGTTCTGCCAAGTGCAAGAACATACATTTGGGAAACCAGTGAGTGGACTTCTGTGGACTGAACTTTGTTTTCCTAACCAGGGATGTAAATCCTAATCTCCATTCCTGTGGTTACAATCTACTTTGGGAATGTGTTGTTTTCAGTGTAGTGCAGGGTGGATCTTTAATCAATCTCCTATGAGATATAAAAGAGTTTAAAGCAACAAGCAAACATAAGATTAAAGAGATAGTAAACCAGGCAGAACATCCAAGAGCAGAAAGTCCAGACACAAAAGAGAAAACTCTAGAGCCAAAAGGGAAAGTAAGCCTTCCCCTAGAGCTGGTGCCCTGAATCTGGACATCTTACCTCTGACAAAGTGAGAAACACATTTGTTGTATTATTTCCACTTGCATTATTTCAATTATAACAGCACGAGATAACTAACACAAAGCCCTACTCCTGTAATTCTGATTCAGTAGTTCGGGGACTGGATGCAGCAATTTCCATTTCAACAAGAATCTGGAATTCTAATGCAGATGGTCCCTCAATCACACTGGGAGTAACGAAGAAAACATTCCTTGGTTCTTGTGAGAAAATGAACTATGTCTATAGTGGAAAACTTAGAAAGTCAACCTCTCTCTTCTGAGAGGTTTTGAGGAAATCTATAAAGTTAGGAGCTGAGCCAGTTTATCACAAGAGTCCCCTGTCATCTGATTTATCTAGGGACTGGTGACTCATGTCACAGCTCTGAAAGAATTATATTCTTTGACATAAAAAAGTTATTCCTCTTAGGGGAAGTATAAACCACAATGCTGGAGGGTTGAGTCCAAGGCACTTCCTGGTCAACTTCCAAACTTTCACTGAATGGCTGCTAAGCACCATATCTGTGTTCAAAACCAGAATTCTATTCTTGCCGTGCTCTGGTGGCCTAGTGGCAAGAAGCTGCACTGCAATCCCAGAGGTGCCTGGTTTGAATCCACCAGATGCTCTGCTGGAGGAGAAACAATATCCTCCTGTACCAGTCAGATCCGATTTGACGGTACATGCACAATCAATCAATCAATCAATATAAATAAATAAATAAATAATTCTATTCTTTATAATGAAAAAGGTTATAGCCTCCATGAGAAACCAGCTGACATTACTCTTGGCCCTGTCCTTTGGAACTAAGAAGAGGCAAAAAGGAATAGCTATCTATTTAACCATAGCAGGTAAGCAAAAAATACACAATAATTTTCAGACAGCCTTGTTTTATATACATGTGAGTCTATATATGTATTTTAAAGTATGGAACGCATCATGAATTTGTGTGTTCTCTTTGTGCAAAATCATACAAATCTCTGCATTGTTCCAATTTTAGTAGATGCCCAAGTACGTACTATAAGTGCATACTCTGTGGCACTTCTGTCCCTTGAACATGGCTCTGTCCTCAACTGTCTTCTTCTGTCCTGTCTCTTCATCTGTGAGCTCAGACATAAGATCTCCACTATCTGCTCTTGGTTCGCAGAAGGACTTGCTCTGCAGATGACTCGCACATTTCCTTCAAGCACCCCAGCCTTCCCTCCCACGTGAAATCCTACCGGTTCTATCTCCTGCAATACATTACCTTTTTTCCAATCCCAAGGCTCTGCTTTAGTTCAAGTCCTTATAATGACTTATCTGGGCTGCTACAGCATCCACCACACTCTGGTGTTTGTTCACATGATTATTCTCAACCTCTTGAAGGTTAGCAACCATTGTTTCAATCGACTCTGTACCTCTATATCTGTATCTCAGCACCTGTTACTTAGATGTTCAATCCTTATAAAAAAAAATCAGTCAAATCTGTGTCTATATGGTTGAGCTTTATGCAATGTTCCAAAGTCTAGGTGATAATGTATTTACTCAACAAGCAGTTAGTGGGTAACTACTATGTTCCAGGCTTTGTGATGGACAGAAAAGAGGAGCGCTCGTTTGCAGTTTAATGATGAACACGCCAACAGTTACATAATAGAATGTGATACAAGAGTGGATGCCTATATAAACTGCAGAGTGGGTAAAAGGAAGAACTGAATTAAACAAGAATTTATAAATTCTTTGAGGATAGAGAAAATTCTTAGCTTTGAATTTGCTTTTTAGCAACAGAAGCTCCATTAAGATTTCCTTAAATATAAGGTAAATGAATGAATAAATAAGGCATGTTATGCCATCTGATACCAAACATACTTACATTTTTTAGGGACTTGCTAGTTCAGGATATTATTTATTTTACAATCATCTGATTCATCTCTCTTTTTTTTTTTTATTCATCTAACTTTTAGATCCACTTTGTAGATGTGGTTCCCTAAAGACAAATCTAATGGCCCAATGGGGGCAGACCTATCCCATCTGGTTTCTGACGCTCTAACACACTATTTTATCTTTTTTCCACAGAGTAGCTGGTTCAAATAGATGACTTTCTGGTTACCAGCCCAATTCTTAGCCTACAGCATGACCAGGACTCTGTAGTTGTAGTAGCACTTCCAAATATATTCCTACAATATACCTACTCCTTATTTATCAACTATCTTGTTTTCTGACATTTGCATGATTGTAGTGAAAAATCTACTCTTTAACTACCCTATTAATGATGAATAGCTGGAGGTAAAAAAAAAAGTTGAGGCTCAATGTCAAGAAGACAAAGATTCTCACCACTGGACCAATTGGCAGCATCAGGATGGATGGTGAAGAGATTGAGATTGTTCA